TTCCTCGGCCGTCAAGCTGATCTGCAATGAGAATGAGCTGGTTACAAAGGGGGAAAGGAGCTCAACGTGTCACATAACAAATCCAAACGAGCTGTTTGCGAAGCTGTCTCCAGGATGCACTGGGATGAGTGCTACCTGCAGAGCCTTAAGATATAATGCCAAAATATGAAAATAAAGAATGACAATAATCCACCAAAAGTATTCCATTCTTTCATTGCTCGGCTGGTCGCTGATTTGCTTAAAAGAGTCAAACATGAAGCAAGCAATCCGCTTGGTGTTCATTCCGTCCAATCTGAGATGCATCACAGAGTCTCTCACACATATGAACATCCGCCCGATTTCATTGGGAACCCACATGATGAAATGCAGTGCCATCGTCCACTGTGATGCCCTGCCACCTAGTTTTAAAAACCACGATGAGTTGCCGCATTGCCTTGTCGCAGGACCTCGTAAGAGTCTCGTGAAAAAAGAAAAGGGGGTTCTTTCAGATCCGCTGTCCGGTTTTGCCATAGAATTCCGTATTAAATCTGCCGGTCTCCCTTTTTTCTCCGATCAAGATGGCGTCATGACTCGATCCTCCCATGACTCCGATTCGACCCGATCGAATCCGTCATGAGAAGGCAGGATCTCCAATCCGCCACTCTGCCTCTCGTGTCAGAGGACCAAAAGTTGGAAGAGCCCAGTGGCCAAGTGGCCAAGATCAAGAGTTCGAAGACCACGGGGGCTTTTGGGATGTCGCGCCGTTTGGGAAAGCGCCGTTTTTTTTCGCGCGGCTTGAAGAAACATGCGGGTGTGAACAAATCACCACGACCCTCTCGCTCAAGGCGAAGAACTCCATGAGAGTAGGGTGTGCTGCCGATCAAACAAAAGGGAAGGACGTTCCGGACAGGGTACGAGCATCAGCTGGCACTTGGCCCCCGTGAAGTCCTTTTATAGGTCGATGCCGGTACCATGTCGGTGGTTCACTGGGGGTGTACCCCTCCACTAATCAACCAATCGTAAAAGGATGTAAAAAGGTCCTGTCCCCTCCTTCGCTGGGATCATGGAAAGCCCCAAGTGACAAACCCAAGCTTCCACTTCTTTTCCCCCTGCATGCTCACATGAGCAACCATGAAAGACCTTCGTGGAGTCTCTCGATCAAAAAGTCGTTCGAAACCCCAAAAAGTCTCTTTTGACTCTGCTGAGACTCGCCTTCTGCAGATTGGCGTTGGAAATGGTTCCCGGGTTGATCTTGATGTTTCTTCGGGTTACGCGTTGAGATTCGGTTAAGACGGCACATCATCTGTTGAAAGCCCAGGGTCTTTGCCACTCCCTCACAGCTCTGTACGTTGGCAGCTAAAAGCTTGCTTGCGAGGCAAAGGCGGGCATCAAATCAATTGCTGCCACTCCTCAAACCGGGACAAGTCAGGCAACCTGCAGCGGTCTGAAGGTGATTCTTCGTGCACTCCATCTAGTCTCTTCGATCATGACCCTCGTGCAGATGTTATTCTCGCAGCACAAATCTCTCCAATATCTCGGTAAGCTTTTCCTTGCAGGACCTTTCTTGGGAGCAGGAGCTTGGAAAAAAGGCCTTTCAAAACATGGCTTGTCACAGGACAAACAAAAATGGTGCATATTCTTTCTCATGTCTTCGGCTTCCCGAAAGGGCTCACTTTTATCCAACTAACATGTTCCCCTTCCTCGCTCCGCAAAAAACAACACCACTTTCTCGCTTCCCCATCGTGCCGATGTCCGGAGACTTGCGAAACGCATGACGCGTAAGAGGGGACGCGTGGCGTGGGGCTTCCCCACCGATGTGGGTTTCCGCCTCGGGGCCCACCAAGCTAAATGATACCCTCCTAAAAACCCTGTCTCAACCAAAAACAGTTCTGGCTGTTCCAACATGTTCATTGAGGACTTCGCTGTGATGAACATGTTTTGCCACACTTGATCCGAGCAAGAACGTGTCATCAGGACTCTGTAGATAAACCAGCACTCTGTGGAACACCTCTACCTTGGCCGACAAATTGAGTATGCACTTTAAAAATAGCAATGCCAGTTCATCTGTCTATCTCTGCCTCCGGCCTTACTTATCTCTATCTACGCAAAAGAAACTGCAATAGAAATTCTGCGACGCGGCATACCTTCATGTGACGCAAAAAAAGGTTGGCACACGCCACAGCTATGTCCGTTCGTGCTTTCGTGCTTTCGTGCGCTGCCATCGGCAGCCTGGCTGCCCTTTTTTTGCTGCAAAAGCGTTGCCCAAAGAATTTCGACGCCCCAGAGGGTGGCATAGGGTTACAAGACACAGTATCACTGTATAGAATTGCAGTGAGCTTTGTCAGCCAAGTGTCTCCGCGCCGGTCCAGGCCTGAAATTCTGAGCATGACTTTGACTTGGCCTCCTACTTCGAGGTTCTTCATTGGACACGTGTCGAGTCAAGGAGTTTGCAAAGGAAACACCGTTGCAACGACGACAACAAGTTGTCCAAGGAGCTGGACATGGAACAAGCCTGATGCACTGGCCATCCTGCCTGATGCTTGATGCACAATAGTAGACTCTAGTACATTGCAATATGTTCCGTGCACAGGTGCCTAAAAATGGTACACAAATGATACTGTACAGGTTAGTATACGCAAGGGCATTCTCTTGGAAACAATACCAGACTGAACATGCCTAACGTCGGAGCCACGACAAGCTCAACGCAAAAGCTCGGGCTTCAGCGTCATCCATGTCGGCCCTCTCAGAAACGTCGCTGCCAAGGGCGCTTCCAGCGCCCGTGAACGTTAAAATGACTCGATGGTTTCGGCGCAGGCGGGGCAGCTGGCGGTGGCCATTGGCCGATGGCCGACCAACAAGTCCAGCAGTGTCATCGACTGGGCTGTCAGCCCTATGTGGCTTCAAGTGGCTTCGTGTCAGATTTCAATGCATCTTCACTTAGACCAGAAAGTACAGTCTTTCGACCTCAAAGTTACCCCACAAAGATCAGTTGAACACGCTGACTGACATCGGAGCCTTCTTGAAGCTACTATATACATCAAGCTTGGACATCTACCAGACTAAAGCAGCTCATGGTCGTAGCCGCCATTCCATCGATGTCGATTTCCATCACATGCATGGCCATCACACCAGACAAAACCACTTGACACGTGGTGGATTAATTTTGTTGCGCCACCAAAACGGAGGGCGCAACACAGGGGTCTGACATCTGAAAACATCCGAAACATGAAGTCTTTCGGATAGAAGTCGGCGCTGAAGGACGTGTTTCCAAGGGTTTCATCACACCCGAAAAATGCCATATGGCTCTGGCAGGCCGAACATGGCATTTCAATGGGCAATCGCAAATGGAATATTTCCCAACACCTTTTCATCATTTCTGGACAGCGCGGGAGACTTCGGGGTCCATGGAGACCTCCAAATCTTCACGAACATGACAGATAGGTGGCAGCGAGATAGGTGGCAGCGAGATGGGTGGCAGCGAGATGGGTTGGCCATGCAAGTGAAGCCATGCAAGTAAAAAGTACATTAGATACATTCTCACATCGAAGAAGAAGTCGGCACGTCCAACCAGACAAAGCCACCGCGGTCGGGAAAACCACGGTATCCGAGTTCTTTTTTCGTTCGCAAACGCCGACCAAAGAAGGATCAACCAGCAGTCGGTGTTTAGTCCCCAAGTGAGTGGATAATGGGCACCCCTAACCTCCATTAAGCACCGGTTTGTGACTGCTGGAATATGGTCTTGAATGTTCCATGCGGAATTCACATTCCAATAGGTTTTTCCAGATTTGAGCGAAGGAGATCCAACCTCTTTCGTCCTTGGACCGACGCCAAGTTCTTCTTCATTTGGAGTATCTCTGCAAGCGCTGGACCTACTCTCGGTTAGAGATCGCTTGTGGAGCTGGTCACGGGGAATCACCCCTCAACTTGATTTCTTTGCGAAGGTCCCTTCGGGTAGGCAACAAGAACTTGTCCACAAAAGAATGTTCTCCTTTGGATCAATCTTACCCTAGATAGGTGTCGAAATTTGTGGGAGGTGGGGACGAGCAGCAGCGCTTATGGGGGCAGTTTTTAGGTTGTTGAGCCTCCACAAGCTGCGCCAATTCTTCCTGTTTGGGCGCTCTTTTCGGGCCTAGGCAGCCTAGGTCTTCAGGCTCAACTGCCGTCAGCAGCGCTGGACACCCCGCTAGTCTGCATGTTCACAGAATCACAGGGAAGTGCGTAATGAGCCAATGCTTTGATCCAGCATTTCCTGCTTGCAAAGTAACAAGCGTGCAAACGCCAGGAGCAGAGTATTGCAGCAGCATTGAAACTGCCAAGAAAACAGAAAACAGCGGGATGTCAGGTGAATCCTCATGGTTTTTGAGGCCTTAGAGCTCATTCTACTGCTGTAGCCACCAAACAATCCAAACGTTGACTGTGGTGCACAACGAATATGTAACTCACGTCCAAATTTGAGGTGACATGGTTCCGGCAAAGGGGATAGCCCACAGTTCTACATATGCCAGTCATGACTGGACCGCCTCCTGCTGTATCTGTTCAAGTGAGCAGAAATCAACCCTTTTCTCCTGTTTTGACGAGCAAATGTCATCAAACGTGTAGAAAAATATAGTAATAATATAGTATATCCAGTCCTGTTCAAAACGGATGTTTGAAGGTTTTCGATGTTTTTCGCCCCTACATTCTCTGGTTTACGGTCTCCCCGTCCAACGGACCACTGCGTCGGAGTCGTATGTCATGGGAAACGAACCGTCGGCATTGAACGAAACAGTGAAAAGTCATGCCACAACACCTTCGAGTTTGAACTCGCTGTGGACATTTTTCGCAATTTCATGAGAAGATCAGGGACCCCTTCTCGTTTGGAGACGTGAATATCATACACATCACATCGTATTGCGCGTGCCAAGGAAATTTCACCAAACTGTTTCTAAAATCAAGCGGCAACAAGGCCCCCTACTGTCATGCGCATGCCAGGACATGAAACTAGGCAAACAGTCATTGAGACTAACATGACTCAAAAGCTGTAGATGTGGAGATCATTCTTGTCTCTCTCCCTGTGGGCGTCATTCAGCTGTAGAGCGACCAAACGTCTGCGCATCTGGGCGTCATTGGTCGACTCCTTGGTGGCAGTGACAACAGACCATCGCCCATCGGCACTCCGGAAGAGACCCACATGGAACCTGAAAACCACTGGTTTGTAAAGGAAAGTAGTCTTCCAAAGGTCCATTTTCAGGTTCCATGTGAACTTTCCCGGGTCTACAACCCGCACACCTGGTGTGAACCCTTGACCAGATCCACTCGCTACCTGACTGGTTGGTGCTTCATCGGCGAGACGAAAGTTCAAACAGCTGCGTTTGCGCAACCTACATGCAACCTTGCAATATAGACCAGTGGTTCTTTGCTGTTGCACCCAGCAAAACCTTCTTTTCAACTGCGTGCTTCTTTGTCGCTCTGCTGAACCGATCGAGAAATCGGCCACCGATCGCCCTTCGCAGACCACAAGATCTGAATTGCTCTCGCTCTCAGCCATCGTTGTTCCCCCTTCCTCCCTTCCTCGCTTCCTCGCTTCCTCCCTTCCTCCCTTCCTCCCTTCCTCCCTTCCTTCCTCCCTTCCTCCCTTCCTTCCCTTCCTTCCCTTCCTCCCTTCCTCCCTTCCTCCCTTGCACACCAAACCAGGCTTCTGAGGCTCCTACTTTTCCCCTTTCGGCCCAGACCATTGACCGCCACCATGTCATTCCCGAATCGGCCACCCACGAACGGGCCAAGGGACAGGGAGCCCGATCGTGAAGCGCCTCGACGCCGTTGGGGACGATACGGTCACTACTTGCTTCGAGGTGAAGCCGTTGGGAGGTTCGATGAACATCCGTCGTCGAAGGGATCGTTGAACCATCCATCGAAACGGCCGCTGCGCCACGCGGCGCGGATCAAAAAGGGAAAAGAATGGCTGCTCAATGGCCTCCAACCAGTAGCAATGCCCTAAAAAGAATCCAAAAACATGTGACGTTGACCTGTTTAGAAGCAAGTCATACCGACAAAAAGCTTCAAGGAGATGGCAAAATGTTCCAGGAGATTGCTCCAATCCGAATGACAAATCAACCTTTAGAATCTGGAAACTTGGCCAAACTCTAAGCGTCCTTGGTGCGAGTTCTTGGTTTCAAGCCTATCCCTTCTGGCAAACTGAAACCGACCCTATGATTTTGCTTAGCAATGTAGAATTATGATGATATTTCAACCCCCAAGCCACTCCATGCTTCCAGATTGGGGGGGTCCATTCTTCCAGATTCTACGCGTCGATTTCGCCTCGCCCTTCAATTGGTCCAAGAACTTGGCCTCGACACATCCGGGGCGTGTGGAGCGGTGGAGCACACGACCGGTGGGCCGCAGAGGTCGACTGAGAGGCGGACGCTGTTTCTTGGGGGGCGCGAGTTGGAGGTTTTCAGAGGTTGGAACAAAGAAATCAGGCCAGATGAGGGATGAAAAGGAGGATGGACGAGGATTGACTTTTGGGATGAAACTGAATCACTTGACCACAACTTGAACCTTTGGGTTTAGGGTTCGCGAACCACAACTTGACCACAAATTCAAAACACCCCATGATTTTTCTGGAAATCACAAGCGGTGCACAACCTGAACTGGTGAAACTTCGTTCTGGGCCGCAGTGTGCCGTTCGTTCGGGCACGTTCGGCGCACCGAACGTAGTTTCCACTCGAAAAGGTGGACAACCCGAATTGGCAAGCTTGGATTTGCTGGTTTCGGAAACCGGAAAAAAGTATTCCAGCTTTGGAGATTCACCCAGCTCGGGAAAAAGGACATCATGTGATTCGCAAAACCAGGCAATGCAACTGAATTTGCTACTTGGGCAATGCATTTACATGCTGCACACCAGCACTTGGTCTGAGGTAAGGCATGAAGAATTGTGGCACAAAAACATGCGCAAAAAGAGGGAGGTACACCCGCGAGCTAAGCATCAAGGCTGCCAAATAAGACACTCCACCATTCAGCTGATGGATATCATATCGTTTCAGGGGCATGACATGTTCGATTCATTTTCTTGCAAGACATCGCCTTCAAACATCCCCGATCAGAGTCGCAAAGCCATTAGAATCGCTGCCAAGATGCCATCGCCACGTTTCCTGTGCGCCGCGCCCATCCTAGGCACCCAATACCACCTGGAGCTGACAGGTTGTCACCGACATGCAGAAACAAAGAAACACATGGATTACCACGTGTCACCTTTTCCTTGATTTTGAAAGGGCTACATTGCGCATAAGTCTTTGGTATGTACATTTCTGTACTTGTCGATGAACGCACACGCTCCCCTGGCGCTCCCCTGTACATGTATGTGCTTGTACAGTGTGCGCGTCATCCAAGCTAGGAAAATTACGAGCCACCAGTTCAAACCTTGTCTCAGTCCAAATTCTACAGCGCATAGGTTGGTCTTCCACCCCACGTAGCCAGCAATCAAACACCTCCTTGTGGAGAAACAGGTCACGGTGGCGCCTTTGGCAGTGGCCGACGGTCCTGAGCTTCCTTCAAGGCACTTCCTTTCTTTGGCACTCTTGTAGGACACTCTTGCAGGACATCCTTGCAGGACACTCTTGTGGGACAGTCTTTGTAGGACACTTTTGTGGGGCACTCTTGTGGATCACTCTTGCGGAACAATCTTCTAGGACACTCTTGTGGGACACTTTTGTATGGCATTCTTGTGGGACACACGCTCTTGTGGGACATTCTTGTAGGACACTCTTGTTGGACACTCTTGTAGGACACTTTTGTGGGGCACTCTTGTAGGACGAGTGGGACACTCTTGTGGGACACTCTTGTAGGACACTCTTGTCGGACACTCTTGTGGGACACTCTTGTGGCGCACTCTTGTAGGACACTCTTGTGGGACACTCTTGTAGAACTCTGTAGAACACTCTTGTGGGGGACTACTAAAGTCTCCAAAAGTCAACCGTCACGTCTCCAGAAGGTTTCGCATGAGACTTCCTCCAAAAGTCATGCGTCAAGTCTACAAAACAAGCATTTCGCACGAGCCTTCTTCCAAGGTTCACTCGTCATTTCTCCGGAAGGAGCGTTTGGCACGAGACTTCCTCAAAAACTCACACTTGAAAACTGCAAAACCCGGGTTTCGTACGAGATTTCCTCCAAAAGTCATACGTCAGGTCTCCAAAACGAGAGTTTTGCACGAGCCGTCTTCCAAAAGTCACATGTCAAAGTCTCCAAAACGAGCATTTCGTACGAGACTTCCTCCAAAAGTCAAGCAGGAAGCTCCATCGGAGCACACACATCAAGCAGCCCTGCCAAGCAGTTTCGCGATTCCAGCCCCTCCAAACAACACCCGCTCACACGCCAATCCCAATGTCACAGCGACATTCACCTCCACCACAACTCGCAGCCTCACGATTCCCTGCACCTGCCACGAATCCACACGTCTAACACACACAAAGTACTACGCCTGCCACGAAATGTCACCTCCGCCACACCTCGCAACCTCACGATTCCCTGCACCCGCCACGAAAATCGGACTTCCACACCTCTAAGCCCGCACAAAGTACTGCGCCTGCCACGAAAAGTGACAATATCATATCATGTGAGCTTGAACCCATTTTGCACCACACCACACGTTTAGAATGATTTCGACACGTTCTGAGCACACTCCCATCCACCAAAAACACCATTTCAGCTGAGACTTGTCACGAAAACACAGTTTGAACGCAACACCCTGAAATGCAAATCCCAATGTCACAGCCACATCCAACACCCCAAAAACACCACCCTCCAAACGCCAATCCCAATGTGACTGCGCAGAAAACTGCCCATCTCACAAAACGCTGCGCCTGTGCAGTGAAATGATCCTCCACACTTCACCCTCTTACGTGTCCACACGTTCCTCGCTATTTCACAGGAATCTGACACGTCATGCACCCATCCTAAACCCCCTACAAAACCTTTCCCCAATGTCAGCGCCTTAGCGCCCTATCGCGAAGGGTTGCAAATGGTTGCAAATGGTTGCGGACGGTTGACAACGGTTGCGGTCGCTCAGACCACGAGTCGCGAACAAGGCTCTACCCCGAGACCCCCAGAGTTAAACAAGAACCCTTCGCTACGCATTCGGGGAAAGACATCAACCGGTCCACCCGTTTGCCCCGTCGGTTGGATGGGTCGGTCCGGACCCTCGCCTGGTCCATCAAGCGGACATCCTGCATCCAGGAGGATCTGGGCCTTGTATACCATCCTCTGATCCTGGCGAAGTCTGAACTCAGATCTGCGGCCTGATCTCTTGCTCTCTCTCTCTCTCTCTCGCTCTCTGTGTCTCTCTCTCTCTCTCTCTCTCTGTCTTTCTCTCTCTCTCTCTCTCTCTCTTCTCCCAGAAAAGAAAAGAAACGAAGATGCACTGAAAGCCACATGTGTTTCATGTGTTTCAGCGACACATGTCGAAGTCCATCAACTCTTCCTGGCTTGGCTCTTCCAAGCGACTCTTCCTGGTGCGACCCGAACAAACTGCTTGGACTTCACCAGGCCTGCCGAATTTGGGCCGCCTGCAGCGCGACGGGTCGACCCGACATTGGGGGGCCGCGGGTAGCCCGCGCCCCCAGGTCTCGTCTGTTCGCTGCGCGTCTGGTTCGGGCCCGGACCCCTGCCTAACTCGGTGGTCCGACTTTTGCCGCGGAGAGCCCGAGCTCGGATTCTTATAGGCTGGGAAAAGACCGGAACATGGCGCCAATCGCTCGGACGTGGTTTTACCTGGGTTGCAATGGACAAGGCTAGGGGACACTGGGGAAAAGAATCCGAGAAATCCTTGGTGTACTGCTGTAAGGACACACCCCAAACGCGACCTGGCCTCAGGCCAGAAAAACGAAGGGCTCGGAGAGAGAGGGGATTCTGCCCAATTTGTAGGTTTCTTGGACTGGTTTGCTTCTCCACCCCCCGATCTTCTCACTGAAAGTGGCAGGGTAGGTTGGACAAGACTAGATCTGGTTCGGATTTGCAAGCTCGTCCGTTTCTTTCCAACCGTCCCGGTCCCTGCCGCCGGCCCCCCATCCGTCTCCCTCTGTCCAAGAGGCTTGAGGGTCAAAGAAATCACCCTTCAATGGGCGAAACCTGCAAGAGTTCCTCGGAGGATGGAGGGGCCACGTGCCTCATGGTTTCCGAACCTCCCAAAACGAAGAAGTGAAAACGCAAAGGAGTTGAGGGAATCAAAAGGAGCCACCTGATGGTAGCAGGAGTTCGGTCAAATCTCGATGCCACCAACGCATGCTTCATTTAGTCTGCCACCCAAATCTGGGCCGTGAGGACTCGTCAGCCGAGTGTCGAGGAAAGGAGAGAGAGGGCGGTATGGCCATCCACATCTCGAACATTTACCGATGCACCGTGCGCCTCGGTGCATAAAGCGTTCCATGTACCGCTGGAGAGGCAGCTGATGGAAGAAACACACGAAGTATAGGAAAGTTTTGTCGAAGCATATAGCAGGACGCGCTTCGAATCTTTTCCTTCAACAGTATACACTGTCAGGGAATCCTTTCTGTCCCAGCTAAATTCATGTGTGGAGATCAAAGGAGAGCGCTTCCCACTGCTTGGAGAAAACCATGCAGCAAAAACCTATCCTGCCACACATCAGTTGTTTCCTTTTACATGCATATACGGGCTATTTTTTAACATACACTCCCTGAAACAATCATGGAAATCGAGTACACATGGTCTTTGGAATGGCTGGTCATCCACTTCCACGGCCATACCATCTGCGGTCGGCGTCCGACCAAGGGCGTCTCCGGTCGGTCCGCGCCAGTCTGCGGTGTGTTCGAAAGATCTCGCGGAGAAGCCCCACTTGAACGCTTCCATTCGCTGTGTTTGGTGATAGAACACCGGGTATTGAAGTAGCACGAACGACACAGCGTCATGACATGGCCCTGGCAAATTCTTTCCTCAACCACTGAAACTCTTGCGCCTATACAGTGGGCAAACAAATGCTTCAAACGCATCTCCTCCTGGGGGATCCTCCGAGGCCGAGTCGAGGTCCACCAACAAATGCCTTGGAGCGTCAGCCACAACGGAACCATCCATCGACCATTGCTCGGCTGACCTCCTCCGACGTGGAATTCGTCAAAGGCGCCACCACTTGGTAGGTTGATGCGGCCTCGACCATGTTCAGGGCCGGGCATCCTTTCTTGTTGACGGTGTCCACCCACATGATGTCGGCCGTGAGCACTTCATTAAAGTCCAGACCAACCACGGGTTGCGCCGGTCTGGAAGGTTTGGCTTTCCCACTCTTTGCGCATGTCCGGCAGACCTATTGCTCTGCAGCTCTAATGACCCCCTCGGAAGCTCTTCCCAAGCGCAAATGTTTCACAAGTTCTCTTTGAGGTGGATGTCCAAGGTTTTGGTGAGTGCGCTTGAGGGTGGAGGCGATGACGGGCTTCACCTTTCCCTTGAAATATATGGCAGCAGCTCCCCTTGGTAGCAGGCTGTGGTTCAACAGCTTGTTCCCCATGTAGGGTATGGAAGTACGGCTTCAGCGAACCCCAGCGTACACTCCGCAGAAGCGGCAGTGTCCCTTGCTTGTATGGGTCGATGCTGATGTTCTCCCTGGCATCGTTGTGTCAACTCTGCTGCAAAGTTGGGATTATTGTTCATCAACGAGATCCCTTTTCGATTTGGCACAAATCCAAGTTGGCCGTGTTCACATTGGAGCTCATCGCAAGGTCGGCTAATGAAGATTTTCTCCATATGTCGCTGGTCTTTGGATTCTCAATCACCGCGACATTGCCCAAGGTCTGTTGTAGTTCAAAAACTCGACGAGTAAAGTTCACCAGACCTCGTTCTCGACCTCTCCTGCGCCTAAGTTCCTGCTTGGTGTGTTGAGCCTCGAGAACTGGCACCACGCAGTGCAGGGAGGCGCCGTCCATATCATCTTGGGGCGACGATGCCAAATCTCTTCAATGAGTTGCTCTTGCGCTTCCGGATCTCGAAGGTCGTGATCATATTTGATGTCTGTGGGGTGTAAGACACCACGGCGGTGTTCCGCAAAGGTGGCCGATATATGTTCGCCTGTCCGGCGAACAGCTCCAAGCACTCGACAGTCCCATGGTCACCATGATGATGCGTCGGTTGTAGGACTGCCCAAGCATCACAAAGTGGTTCTCCCATCACCTGCTGCGACTATTGTCCCACTGCCATGGAGCAAACAGCTGGGACTTGGAAGGCGGAGAAGGCGGCGTCGATGATCTTCTTCTTGGTTCCCCGATTCTCAAATCGGTGCCTTCACGCTTTTCTTCAACTGAACGTGGTGTTCTTGACCTCGTCGGAGAATCATCCGCCCCAGAACCTGTGGTCGTCTCATTATCATCCTCCCCGTTCAAGCCGCGAACATTTTTCGGGGAGTTGATGGTTCCGAGGTCATAATCCAAGGTCTGCTTGTCCACATTGTCGTGAGCCTCATGGCTGTTATAGCGCTCATCATGTCCATCTCCGTCTCCTTGTCCCGCCATCCTCACTTCTTGGTCGTCTTCTTCAGGGCGGCAAGCTGTGCTTCTGTTTACAATGCTGGCCACGGGTGATACGCTTACGTATTGTCCGCAGGCAGCTACTTTTGCCAAAGCCCTTGGCACGGCAGCTCGCAATGACAATGGCCACATAGCCTCCCTTGCTTAGCCTGGCCTTAGCATTACGGTCGGGCAGGTCCACCCTTGCCGTTGCAGGAGTCTTTGGGGCAGGCAAGACACGCTCTCTCACATTCCTGCTCGCATGGCTGGCCCTCACCACCCATCTAAAGATTGCTGTGGTGCACAAAGAAAACCCGGCGGGCAGAGCCATTACGAAGCTGCTGCTCGCCACCTTCGATTTGCAGCCTGAGCACCAGCAATATTTCATCCCCAACGCTCGAATCCTCTCTGCGTGGTCCATGAGCTCCTCCGCGTCGTTGCCAAGTCCTCCGCCTTCACCTTGGTCCGCCCCGCTCGCCGAGGGTGGAGGGATTGTGGGCAATGCTTCCGGGTCCCGGCCGAGGTCCTTCTTCTTGACATAGCCGGAGAGATTCTCCAGACTTCCTGGTACATGAATCCCTTGTACCTGCCGAACGGGACAATGGTGTCTTTTGGAGCGTTCCGACTGTCTCGGATGAGGCGCTCATCAAACTGCGGGTCGGTTTGGCAGGCAGGGTGATTCCTTCCTTCTCGGCTTCGGTGACCAGCTGCTGCACAGTCATCTTCGTCAGGCCTTTCATGCGGTCTTACTCTTTGACAGCAGCTGGCTCTTCTTCATGTTCCATGGCGAGGTCACAAGGCCGGGCATCCACAATGCTGGGAGGGCCTTCAGCAGTTGCGGTCGCGCAACACGATGCAAGCTTGATCTTTGGAACGCTGCTGCGACCAATCCATGGACTCTTCAAAAACATGCCCTCAATGAACGAGACGTCGTGCTTTGCGGTCACACCTGTGCCTTCAGCTAAACAAAGAACAACTTCTGTTGTCCGTTCTCCTTCGAGACGTTTCAATAACACATCTTTCAACTCGACCAGCTTGGTTTGCCATGTAGAAGGAGAGAAGGTGGTATTGCCAGGAACGACGTGGACCCTGATGAACTCACTTGCGGTCTCAATCCAGAAATCCTTGCTAACCTTGGCCTGTTTCCACCCGCAAAAGAGCCCCGCACCACCCAAAGCATCATGAGAAGAAAGCATCAAACGCACTTCATGAGGGAGGACTTTTGGATAGAACAAAGGTTTGATCGGGTGCTCGGACGACTGCGCTCTCATGTATGCCTCTGCGGATGGGATGTAAATGTCATTGACCATCTCAAGGTCACAAACAGGCATGGTGCCATGCGCAAACACATTGACCAGCAGAGCAGGGTGCCCTGTCGGACTGGTGTGCAAGGGGGTACATCATCTAAAGCTTGGCGTTTGGCCTGCCAAATCATAATGCGTCCCCCAAGGCCGCCAGGACGGGCCTACTGAAGAGTATTCTTATTATTCCGCGCAGCCGAGAGCGTCGCGTGTCTCTGGCGTGCCGGGCATGGCGATTGCAATGCCGCAGGCAACTAAACATGACAAAGAGCTCAGAGCTGCCTTGCCAGCTCACGGGCATACCCTCGCAAAAAGTGCCACAAAAAGTCAGCCACCCGATTTGCCTCATGTTCAGGCCACGGGATTTGAACTGCTTTCATGGGTTTGTGGATCATCGCCGCCGGACGCGCGACACAGCCCCAACTACACTCACGCTGACACGCCGCCATTGTTTCCGAAAAAAGAAGCTCAAAAACCCTAAGGTTCGAGGCCAAAGTACGACCAACCAACTCACCAGCGGCAAGCGTGTCAATGGGCACCCAGGTGCTTTGCCCAGCCCTCATGGTTTGAAGGGGAATAAGTAAACCAGAAAACAAATGAAAACCAATAAAGACCTCCAACAGAGTCACGAAAGGAAAAACAACCGCCGTCCGATCTAAATGGATGATCCACTGAGAAAGTTTAAGACCAAAAATTGACCCAAATCCTGTGAAGAAAGATCGTTTGCTCAGAGCAGCCTCCACATCAACAGGAAAACATTCTGTCCAGTCATTGCTATGGCATTGCAGATTCAAGTCCAGCTGATGCAGGCGATCCGTGTCATCCTCTTCTTCATAGCCATCCGGCCGTGAAGCTAAACTGTGTTTGGCCAAGTGCAAAAGGAAAAGCTGGTGCTGTTTCCCCAAGAACATGTTCTGCTTGTCCTGTTCACGAGCGAGACGAACCCTCTCGCGGAGAACAGTGGAGCCACCTGTGCGCACTGCCGCCTTTGCAGCGCTGTCAGCACAACTGTTGCCATAGCGGAGCCAGGCATCATGCTCCGTCAACGCCAGTGCAGGGTCAAGGTGGGCAGATACCTTAGTCAGCTGAACAGTGCTGGAGAGTCGCTCCCAGCTGGCCTGAAGTCGCTTCCAGAGATCCTGATTGCGCCACTCAGTCGGAATGAAGCTCTGCCTCATGACATGAGCAAAGCCGTCAAGGGCATACTGAGAATCCGAGTAGATATGAACTTGGCAGGCAGTGTGAGCTGCCCAGTCCAGCGCCATAACTATGGCCCAAATCTCCGCTCTGTCGCTCGTGCGATGCGAAAAGGGGAGCAGTGCAGCAGCTATGGTTTCCTCAGTATTAGCCAAGTAGCAGCTCCATCCGGCCAAAGCGCACTGAGGGTTCTTTGGCAGATCGCAGGAACCGTCCACAAAAATGTGCAGAGTACCTGAGTCATGCGGCCAAGCTTCCCAAGAGTCAAGCTGGTCGGACAAAGCATGTTGCGCCTCCCAAAAGGAAAGCAAATGCTGATTGGCCAAAAGTAATCCATGATGTGTGACATGTTTAGGCAAGGAATGCCATCTCCGAATCACCTCAGGAAAATGGCTGCGAA